TGCCTCCCCTTCTGTTTGTAAGGCAGGGGCTTGTTTTAGCATTGCAGTGTTGCGGTTAACCTTCCAGTGACTTGTTTTCAAGGCATTCCACTGCCCGTATTCATACGTCTGGAGGACATCATACCTTGAAATCTGTACGACTTGTAAAGGAGCTGATCTTGGCTAGAATCATCTTGTGTGTAGGGATTTTCAAAGAGCTTGCGTGCTTTGATTGTACTGACTGGAAAGTGCAACACTCCTATAATGATTAACAGCAAACGGTCAGGTTTAAGGGTGGGTCATTTGCTGTTGGTTCCTGTGCTTGCCAACACATGATACAGAGGATCTTGTGACTGTGTTAACTCCAAACATAAGAGTGTTTGTTTGCATTTACATCACATCTCAAAATGTATTGATATGTAGAGTAGTCAGGTAACCTCTAAACAGTGAAGAATGGCAATAATTAGGTCACCATTCAGACATGTAACTAATATTAACCCTTATGAACCTGGTTGCTTCCATGCCTGTTAGTTTGGTGCTGAAAATTATGGAAGATTTTTGAGTCAGTGGGAGGGAAAGGTGGAGAGTAGCTGGTTTCTGAGCAGTAGGGAGAAGCAAGTTCCCTCGCTTGTCTCCTACACAAGGTCAACTTATTGGATCTTCTTGTCTGATGTGACCAGCTCTGCTGCTGGCTCCTGCCCCGTCCTGTGATGAGAATGAAGGAGGACAGACTGGGTGGGGGAGGAAAGGAGGCTAAAAGCAGCCTGGGACAAGAGGAGGAGCACCCGGCTGTTCGAGATACATGTGGGAGTGTCTGAGGCTCTTGGCTTAATATGCAATGGGAGGCTTGATCCGTGCTCAGCAGTCCCTTGTGGTGTTGGGAGCGGAGGAGGGAGGTTCATGTGGCTTTGCTTCAGAAGTAAAAGAAGTTGTGGTGCATAAAATTTCCAAGGGGGCGAACTGTGTTTGGTTTAGTCCCTTGCAGCCTGGGCTGGCCGAGTTGGCAAGCCCCGCAGAGCTTTCACAGCAAGGCCCAGAGAGGATTTTCCTCCTCCCTCGCTTGGGACCCCAGGCACAGCAATGAGCTCCAAGGAGAGTTGGTGGCTGAAAGCAGATCACTGCAATGCAGGGGCTTGTTGCAAAGACAAGTAAATGGAGGGATCTGTGGAGAAGAAGAGAGGTGGCAGGCAACTCCTCCCATCTCCTCCTGTGGACTTTTTCCCTATCTTAGGGGAGGACGAAGAGCCTGAAAAGTCCTGCCCTGACTCTGCAGCAGCCAGAGAGTGACTCCTCTTGAGCCTGAGCTTTGGTACAGTGAAAGCCCAAACCTGCAGACTAAACAGAGTACCTCCTGTTTACATCTCATGGGCTGGAGTGGAGCGTGTCCAAGGTGGGACAGGCCGGAGAGCTGCTGCACGGTCTGTCAGCCCCTGCTGCCCCGGCTGAGCAATGAGCTGAGAGTGGCTGGGCTGCAGCGGAGGGTTAGCAGATGACAGGAGTTTGGCAGGTCCCAGCGCCATTCCTACCAGACAGGTGTCTGTATCACCACCGCAGCTGGTACTCGGCGGGAGCCGTTTTAGCAGTCTCAGCAGAAAAGGCAAGGAGTCATTAGACCACGGAGATCGTACGCCCCATTTCTATCAACAGTCTTTCCAGGTCACGTTCAAGGCATGTTAGTAGGGGAAGCCTGTCCTGCTGCTGCCCATGCTCTGGGGATGATTAGATTATTTCCTTTTCCAGAGCTGTCAAATTGGCACCTTTCCCAAGTACTTGGATTTTTTAATTTTTTTTTTCATTTAAGTAACATTTAATTAGTTCTAAGAAGCTAAATTCTATTAAAGGTCTAAGCATGTCAGGCTGGTTTATTTCTGAACTTCTTCCACTGTGTCACGTATTGTTGAATAGGGAAATTGCTTTGACTCAGAAATGTACAAACATATTCAAGAAGTCCTCCTTGTTAACACTAGACTCCTGTTTATATGCTAGTTACTGTGGCAAAGTCTCTGATGTGTAACACTTGCATTAACATTACACATGATCAAAGGCTTTTGTGGTTCTTTCTTCCACTCCCCCTTCCCCCAGTGCTGTGACAGCAGAGCCCCCACACTGCCTCCTAAGCACCTCTCCTCTCCGTTCCAAGGGGTAGATGATCCAGATGCACAGAGGAGGGCTGTGCAGGAGGTATCTGGCCCCATGTTGGAGGGTTAAGGATGCTGATCATGCAGACTTTGACATTAACTGCCCCACAGTGACATTTGTATTCGTGGTGGAGTGTCCAAGGTTCTTGGTCCAACATCTGAGCTGTGCCAAGCATGCAATTCATCACAGATCAACCTTGTTTGTCTCTAAAACCTACCCAAAGCAAGGTGAGGTTGTGCGTGTGTTCTCCCTCCCTCCCTTACTTATGTTCCAGCAGATGATAGAGGCACTGTTGAAATGCGTTACTGATCAAGCCCGTCCCAATAAAGTTGCCTGAGCCTTTAATACATATTAATATTATCCTGGGGTAGTTTGTGTCAAAGCCTGTCAGCATGCATCATCCTTTGGGAATTACCATCATTAAGTCTCCAGTGATGGGAGTCAGGACATGCTTCTGCAAAGCTCCTCTGCTTTTATGTGGAGCTCTCTGCCCGTCTAGCACAAAGCAGACTGTTCTCCCCTCCTACCTTGCTCACCTGGACTGCTTACTCTCCCCAGAGGGAAGAAGGAGGTTTATTTAACACTACCTTTAGATAATTTCTGCTCCTGCTGCTTTAGGCAGTCATTGTTCTAGGGAAGAAGATGACACTCGAGTCTTTGATCATGTGCAACGTACATGTTATGCATCAGATATTGCTGCAGACTCTGACATACGAGCCAATACAGTGCAGTAAAAACAAACCTATAGTTAAAGAGTCCTCGTTAACTGCAAAATCCAGCACAGAGAATTTAAGAAATATCTCTGCACTTTGGCCTTGCCCCTGTTACACATGTATATTTCGATACTTTATTTAATTGAAGGGTCAGATATGTATTTTTTACAAAGCATGCCTGCCTCATTCAGTGCACAAAGATGCAGCGTGTTTGGGGGATGAATCAGGAGCATGGAGTAAAGTAGACTCCTGCCTATAGGACTTCCACCTCGTTTGTGTAGTGAATGAGGCAAGTAATTGCAGAAAGACCACAATAGTCTCATGGCGAAGCCTGTTAAATGTTGCCCTGGAGAATTGGATCCTGTCCCTGCTTCTGCTACTCTGTTCTTTCTCAATACGATTCCAGAGTCTTAAGCTGAAATGTTCTCAGGTGGCAAGTGAGTTTGTGTTCCTTGTTTTCTGGATGGCCAGCTCGAGACCTGAGGTCTGGTCTGTGTTCCCAGCTGCAGGAGGAGGATGGGAGGAATTCCTCCGCGAGTACCCCTCTACCCTGCAGGGCTGAGTGGGCTGGAAAATGGGCACCTACAAGAAGTGGACCTTCAGACTCAGTTTTCTCTTCACTAATTTCCCCCCGTCTGTTCAGGAAAACCTTCTTCCAGTCATCCTGTGAAGATTAATTCAGTGTTTGCCAAGTATTCTGGCTCCACAGATGAACACCAGAAACAATTTCAGGAAGAGATTAAAATTCATTCTTGCAGGTCAGGAGAGAGAAAGGATCTCTCTGGAGTAAGGGGTCAGACTGGGAGTCGAAGACCCATGTTCAGCTCCCTGCTCTTGCAGCTTTTCTCCGTGACTTTGTTAGGTCTCTTAGCTTCTTTTAGCCACCCTCCCCCATCTGCTGCATGGAGAGGAGCGCTTCCCTGCCTCACAGAAATGTGAGGCTGAGCACGTCAGAGGCTGTGAGAGCGGTAAGGACAGTAAGATTAGATACTTTCAGTGTAATCCATGCTGGCAGTAGTCGGATGGAGCGCACTAAATAAAGGGGAAGAGAGTAGGAGGGAACTGCGAAACAACGTGAATGATAATGAAAAGAAATGATGACTAATGCTGCATTCAGTGAGCAGAACTATCCTGAGGACTGAGCAGGGCAGAGGTCTCGTGGGAGAAAAACAGCAGGCGATCCTGTGATTACAGATTTGTTTCGGCAGACATACACCGGGGCCAAATTAGCATGGGGCAGGCA